AATAATGTAGATGCGTTGTAAACAGTCACCATTCATATGGACAGTCTTTGGAAAGGCCGAAATACATACTTTTCATTAATCATTCCTTCTCATATAGGTAGCATTTCAATTTTAGAACAGATTTAAAATGAACTGCATTGTGTCTACCATCATATCTACATTACTGGGTAAAAAGAAAAGAAAATATTTCTGCCACGGCTACGTGGGTTTCCTATTGGAACCCAAATCTCTGTAATAGTTTTCTACTTTTTCTTCTTCTATGGTTAAATTATGTCATTATCACATAAATCCTGAATGAATTCCTCTAAGTGAGTTTATACTATCTAATTCAGAAGTCAGTGAAGTAGGCTATAAAGTTATACTGTTTTAAGTCATTTGGCAATCAAATGTGCCTATTTACACTATAAAAGTCTTTTTTATTCCATAATGAAATCATAAGCTTAAACTTATAGACCAAAATCTGTTTTTATGTCCTTATTTTTTAAGCCATTGATTTAGATAGTTTGAAAGGGTTACATTAAATATGGACAAATAAAGTGAGTTATAAGATTTAGCTTCAATAAACACAGGAAGACCTTGATTGTAAATTATTTTGATATGCAGCTAATGCAATTGGTTCAAATTAACAGCTTTCTTTAGTAAAAAAGAAATACCTCTTTTCTATTTATTAATAGTTTTAGCCACATTGTTGATGGTACCAAAAAAAAAGAAATGGAAGGAAGAAATCTGATCTGCAGTGGACCCAGAATACCTCAAATTCCTAGCTTGTTGAGTAAAATATAGGACCGCTTTTCTATATTGATTAGGAAGTTCTCTCCTTTAATGATAACTTGTTTGTTTCCTAAATTGCTTTATTTTTTCCCCTTTCTCATACACATAAATCTACTATGTGAGATATGAGGTTGCAAAAGCTGGGATCAGGTATCTGCGGGATGAAAGAAAGAAAACAGTTTAACTATTGCAATTACTGCTAGGCAACCCCACTGCTTCTTGTGGTCATCCAAGTAACAAGGTCACGGGCTCCTCTAGAAAATGTGCATCATCAACACATAATGACATGGAGCATTTCAAAAGGTATCCATTTGGGATTGTATACATATTAGAGATCCAAAATTAAAACTACCGGAAAAATAAAATAAAGGGTAGATTAAAGTATCTCCACATTTTTAGGAATTACAAACATTTAAGTAGCTATTTAGACATAGTTATAACAGTTCCTACATGATTTAGAGGCACATCTAAGCTAACTGGCACATTAACATATGTGGAATTAGGGGGGAAAAAAAGAAGAAAATAAAAAAATCTAGCTGAGTTCATCTTCAAAGATCCATACTGAAAATTCTATTTGTCCAAATTGATTTGTTCATGCAGCACTTCTCAGCTATGTTTTCTACCATCATTCATTTCTCATTAAGAGTCAGGGGACAATCAGAATAGGAAGGATTTTCTCCCACTGAAATCTTGACACGGCTATAGTTGAGAATCTTTATCAAAGAGTGGTGAGGAGTATAATGTGAAAAAAAGACTGGAGCAATTTAGCCATTACTAGTAATGCACTGTCCAGATTTATTCTCAACCTTGGCTTCATGTTAGAATAACTGGGGGAAGTTTCCAAAAATTCTGATGGTCAAGTCTACCAAGAGAATCTGACGTGACTGGCATGGGGTGCAGCCTGGGTGCTTGGGTTTTTGCTTCCAGATCTTCGGCACTAAAACCAAATCTCCGTGTTTCAGTATGTTCTTCAGGAAAATGAAGGAGTAAACAATTATATCCATGCCTCGTGTTTTCTTGCAGTTATGCAATTTGATAATTTTATTCAGTAAAATTGTTTTGAAGGAACACTCATGGGTTTTATATTTTAATCATACGATATTTGAAATATTCTTGTTTATTTCTATATCTAAAAGATAAATTTCTATATCAGAAGAGTTTTCTCCATTTGCTTTATTTTATTTGAATTGATAAGATGCCATCTTGATTTTCTAATCAAAAATCTCTTTTTAAATGAGCTGGCATTGGGCAGTCGATATTGTGGTGTGGTTATACAATCTAAGATTTTGGTTATGTTAAGTGTTATTTTTTGAAATAAAATACTCAGGTCAACATTTGCTCTGATATCCTTGCAGTATGCTGTTTACTTGTATAAAAAGCTAAGCTTTACTCCTGTAAGCTCATGTCACTAAATAAAAAAAAATAAAATATTGTTAATCCAATTTAGAATCAAAACATGGTTTTCTAATTGTGACAGATAACTGATCAATTAACATTCTGAGGCAGTGGGACACTCATTCCTGCCCTAGAGTTATAAATACAAATGAAATACAAGGAAGTATCTTGATCTATATCTACTTTTATATATAATAAGGGTAAACCTATCACAAAGTTATACACATTGCATACATTTCCTTAATACTGAGAATTTTTTACATCTGAGAATCTAGAACAACTTTAAAAGGCAGAAAAAGAAGGCTCTATTAATAGATTTAAATTCAGTAGCAAAACTACCAGTGTGCCACATGGTGGAGTCAGACATCCACAAATCAACATGACCAGTTAGTGACAGGAAATCGGAGTACATTTTTAAGATGACCAAATACAGAAATACCATTCATTTTGTCCTGCTTCTCAGTGATATATTAATAAGTGCTTAATTTCTGAAAAGGGAAAGCTAAACCCGCTAATCTTTTAATTAGTAATGAACTTTCATGTAAACTTAAAGAAACGCATTGTTTTTAAATTAATACAAAGCATAAAAATTAGCTCCCATTATTTATACTTAGAAAAATGTCATTTTGTTGGCATTCTATGGGCATCCTTTGTCTTACACACCGTGCTTATGTTCTTAATTCACAAACAACCTCTTCACTCTCTACTTGTTTCTTTCAAGGGAGTTTGAAAGTGAACTTTAGGAAATGCAATCCTTGAAGGTAATCTGAGTACTTGATAACGCTTGTTCCAGAAAACAATTCACTGGCTGTCATCTTAAAATAAAATCATGAAGAATGTTTCGATAGCTTTTGGGTAGTCTGCTCTTTCGAATATCATATATTACCATTTAGGGAATTCTAAGGCAAGAATTATCTTGACAATATATTTGCAATGAGAAATGCGCAGAAAGTGGATTTGAGCTTGTTGGTACTCAAAATCTCTTTTTTCAAGTAGATGTGAAATTTCTTCATTTACCTGTATGCTGGTATATGCAAGTATTTTGAACTGCTATAGTTAATAACACTTTTACTATAGCTTTTTTAATTTAAAAAACAAACAAATAAACAAAATACTTTATTATAAACTAGCATGTTACTTTCATGTTTGTAGAATCTTGCACTCAAATATAAATGAAAGAAGACACTCAGGGTCCTATACCACAACCTTTTCAACTAAACAATATTTTTTTTTCCCTTAAAAGCTCCAATAGTTTTATTCTACAAGCCTCAAAGTAACCTTTATATGTTTTATAATACAAATTTCTAATGTTAATATTTAATATTTAAACCGTTCAAATTTTTCTTTAATTCTACTCAAAAAGTTATAAGCAGTCTTTAACTGCTTATCAAACAGTTCTCCAAAAACATGTCATTAAAGTAAAAAAAAAAAAAGTTCTATTCTGCCTTTAGTTTAAAATCATGTAATTTTTCTCAGTTCAGTAACTATTTCTCATTCCTATCATACTTTTATTTAAAGCCTTCCTATAACATTGTCTCTGTGACTCAAAATGGGACAGTCTTAGGAATCATTCATGTTAGGGAGCTTGACTAGATTTTTGTAAGTTTGGAGAAATGTGTATACTGGCGAGGTTAAAATCCTCAAGTGTGTTTGCTATTATCCTTCATTTACTAGAGTATTTACGTTTATTGTCCCAGTGAAAAACTACCATGAGGATTTTATCATCAAGATTCTCCCTAAACTTCACTTTCTTCATCTCCAGTTGCAATGATCAATCCTTCTGCTCTGAACTTTCTAAACCGATCGAAATTACCTATACTCTGCCTCATAATCTCAGGGACTTTCTCAGGCAAACTTAGTATGGTAAAATCACCCATGCTCTGTACACCAATGCCCTGGGCACCAATTTAAAAGTGATTCACTGCATGGCAAAGGCACCGTAACCATGACCTATAAATCTAATACCTTACCCAATTAGTGGGGAGAGGGCCTTTGGGATGGGGAGATAAACTTCTAATGCCTCTCACATCATGGTATACTAGTCTGAGTTATCCTTGGTTATGGAGTTCATAATATGCACATATAATTTGAAAAGTAACTGTATTACCCTACTCTCAGAAAATCCTAAGGACATTTAATAAATAATACCTATGTTGCTTTATGTACATTTAAATGTTATTAAAAATAGAAATATAGAATTTTAAAAATACTTTCCAAGGTGCAAGTTAATTTAAATATAACCTAATTTTACTCAGTATAAAGTCAATTTAGATCTACTTTCATTACTATTTTAACTCTGATTCTAGAAAAACTAATTTAACACATTTTATAATTGGAATGGAATAGAGTTGTGTGTGTGTGTGTGTGTGCGTGTGCACGCGTGCATGCATGCATGTAAGTATATATAATATGATTATTAGTAATAAAATGCAAATTTACATCTCAAGATAACAAAGAGAAGTTGATAATATAATGTTTGAAAATCCAATTAAATGGTCCCATTAAAAATATTTTTGTTACAATTTACATTCCCATGGTTTCTCTCTGGCTTGAGAATACTAGTTTGAAAATATTGATAAACAGGCTTTGGTGTGATAGCGCCCCTGTCTTTTAGGTGTCCCTATTTCAAATTCCTCCATTACATACTTTTGAAAATAAATCTTAGAGTGCTAATCAAGAGCTCTCTTTCTCCTCTTACTTCCAAAGAGTCAAATCAGTCTATCAAATAACCCTCTGGACAACTATTTGAAAACATTATAAGTTAGAAATTCAGCAATATCTCGTTCAGATAATAAAAAACAAGAGAATAGAAGCTCATTCGCAATTCTACTTGCCTGGGCTTCCTGAGGCATTTGAGCTGCGTCCACTTTGTCAGCAATATAAGCTGCCAACTGCTTGTCAATGGATGAAAGGGACTCCTGAATTAAGTGTAAGGAGTTTTCGATCTCCTGGGCAGACTGGATACTCTGTTCAAGCAACTTTTGCCTCCTCACGGCCTAAAGAAGAAATAAGAATGAATCAGTTAAATATTGACTCATTATTCTTCTGCAATCCTGCTGCAAAGTAAATAAAGAGTCTAAATTCTTACACAATCACCTTTTTGTAAGACAGATTTCGCAGCTTCCTGCCACTCATTCAGCTCTACTTGTAAAAATAAAGAATAAGAACAAAGAATTAGCACACAGAACTACAGGATCAGAAATCTCTGCAGGATGAAACCACAATATTATGTACATCGAGGAAAGAGGCTGAAGAAAATATTAGTGAAATCATCTCAGTAGTTGCAATCTGTCGTACTCAGGCTGAATGCTCCCCCTGATCTCATTATATAGTTCAAGAGATTTGGTTTACTTAGAATAGGGTCATCGTCATCACAATCCAATTCGAGACAGATAATCCACTTCCACCAGTGAGACACATATACAATCTGTTCAGAATCAGCTCCTTTTGAAAAAGGGAATTTTAGATAACCATCTGGTTAAGGATTTCTTTTGAATACTATTTTAACAAGTTTTGCATCGTCTTTTTCCCCCACTTTCTTTCACAATTTGGATTATGGAAATTGCTTGTGCAATTGGATTTATGTTACTGCTGAAGTAGAACAAATAAGTAATCCTAATATAGCTGCAATTAATCTTGATTGTTACTATAAGTATGATTAGAATAATTTAACACTTTTCAAGTATAAATAGCACAGTGAATAGATTGCAGAGTTTCCTTTCAAGGAGTTGTTCACCTTTAAAAGAGGAGTCATAAAAGGAATGGGACAGGCAAGTATTTGAGAATTCTTTAGGTTATGCATCATTTCAAGAATTTTCCCTTATAATGCAATATATAGGTAATATTATCTGGTACAATAGAACTATCTTTCTCAGAGATCATAATTGGGGTTTTAAAAGTGAGCCTGTTTTTTATATTTATATAAAGACTATTAGACTATATACAAACATTAACTCAAAATAGATTAAAAATTCAAACATAAAATCTGAAATCATAAAATACTTAGAAGAAAACATAGGCAGTAATAAGCTCCCTGATATCAATCTTAGTGAAGTTTTTGTGAATCAAACACTAACAGCAAGGGAAACAAAAGAAAAATAAATAAATGGGACTACAACAAACTAAAAAGCTCTTGTATAGTAAAAGAAACCATCAACAAAATGAAAAGGCAACCTACCAAAATGGGAAAAGATATTTTCAAATCATACATCCTATAAGGAATTAATATACAAAATATGTAAAGAACTCATACATCTCAACAACAACAACAAAAAACGATTAAAAAATGAGCAGAGTATCTGAATAGACATTTTTTTAAAACAGACATATAAATGGACCACAGGTATATAATAATCACTAATTATCTAGGAAATGCAAATCAAAACCACAATGAGATATCACCTCACACCTGTTAGAATGGCTGTCCTCAAAAAGGCAAGTAACAACAAGTGTCGGTGAGGATGTAGAGAAAAGGCAACACTCACACACTGCTAGTGGGAATGTAAACTGTATAGCTCCTATGGAAAACAGTATGTGGCTTCCTCAAAAATTAAAAAAAAAATAGAACTACCAAACATCCAGCAATTCCACTTCTGGGTATTTATCCGACACATATAAAAATACTAATTCAAAAAGAATTATGTTCATTGCAGCATTATTTATAATAGTGAAGATAGGGGAAACCTAAGTGCCCATAGATGGATGAATGAAAACACACACACACACACACACACACACAAAATTGTAAAATCCTGCCATTTGTGACAACGTGAATGGACCTTAAGGGTATTATCATAAGTGAAATAAGACAGATGGAAAATGACAAATACCTTATGATTTTACTCACATATGAAATATAAAAACAAAAACAAATGAACAAATAAAAAAAAAACTCATAGAAACAGACAACAGACTGGTGGCCACCGGAAGAGGAAAAGGGTTGGAGGAAGAGTGAAACGGGTAAAGTGGGTCAGTCATATGATGAAAAATGGAAATTAGACTTTTGGGTGGCGAATATGCATATCGCATATACAGGTATAAGATTGTAATGATGAACATCTGAAACTTATATAATGTTATAAACCAATGCTACCTCAATAGAAAGGAATTTAGACATTATGTAAAGAATATAAATGTTGGCTCTTAAGCTTAAAAGATAGTGGACATGTCATTACTCTTTAATAAAGCCAACTTGGAACACAGTGTTACTGAAGAAAGAATAAAGGTAAAGGCATCTGGACCAAGTGAAAGGAGGCTGAAGTTCCGTGATGCTGCTGGAGCGGGGAGGACATTCCCAGTGTGTCTACCTGGGCCATAAATCTTCAGGGTCTGTCTTAGGCTTTCCTCTTTGCATTCTACTCATACCCTGAGTTTCAATTACACCACATATGCCGACAATTCTCAATTCCACATCTGCAGTCCAGATTCTCCCCTAAATCTCCACACTTGTATATATGTTGACCTACTTGACATTTCCACTTGGATGTCACACAGCCACCAAAACTTAGCAACCCAACCAAATATGAACCCATTGTGAGTTGTCCCCTTCTCACTTACTTTCCACCTCCCAAAATGTGTTTACTCTTTCTCTGCATTTTTCCCTATTTCGGTAATTAATAATTAATCATCGCCTTTATTAGGCAAAATTCTAGATATTTCCTCTATTATGTCTTTCACCATTTTAATCAGTCAATAAATCACCAATTCTTTCTTCTACTTCCTAGTATTTCTTGCTTCTCTCCTTTTCTCTCTCTCTCAAATGTCATTACTCTAGTTGAGGTCATTACCGTCTCTTGCCTTAAATATGGTACTAGTCTCTTGGCTGGCATCCTACCCTGTCACTATCCATCTGGAAAGCAGCTACAGTGTGTTCTTTCTTAACTGAAATTATGGCTCTCTACTTTAAATCTTCTAGCGATTCTTTATTTTCTTTAGGATAAAAGCCATACTTCTTAATATGGCTTAAAAGTCCCCTTATAGTCCTTGCTGGCATCTTCTACTCCTTGCTCTAACTGTAGAAAAATTTCATTTTTCATTTCCCAGTGAACATTATGTCCCTCTTGCTTCTTGGCTTTAAACATGCTGTTCTCTTTTCCTAGAACAATCCCATTCCCAACTTCCTTTTTTGGGCTAATTTACATTTGTCTTTTGAGGCTTACATCAGAAACGTTGACATCTCCCCCTCCAGGTGGCTTTCCCTGATACCCTGTTTTCTCTTGAACCTTGCATTTCTATCTTAGCATGTATCACACCATACTGTAACATTCCATTAATTGTCTGTCTTTATTTTAGCCTATAAACTCAAATGAGGTTGGAGCTTATGGAAGTCTTGTTCATTGCTCAATGCCAGTTCTGAAAATAAAGGCCATTTTTTTTTTTATGACTGGATGAATGGTATAATGAGGCTTTTTAATGAGGAAAAAAAAGAAGAGTTCAAGTCATCAAAGAAAAAAATGGATTTCTAAGAAATTGGGGGGTAGAAAAGATCACCATTACTCAGAGATATGACCTTTGGAGAACAGATGTTCCTGGGTTTTTTTGTTTTGTTTTACTTTTAGCATTAAAAGTATCAGAACAGGATGGAACATTATTTGGAGCAAACTTTAATTTATTTCTACTAAAATACTCTAGCCAAATCAATAAACAAGGCCTTACCCTGTACTCTAATTCGAATATAGTTACATTTTTCTTTTGTCAAAACTTCAACTGGAAGTTGCATCACATAATAATTCACAGAACACTGCTCATGGTTATAATCGGAGCTCTCTGTATTGTAGAAGAAAATGTCTGTAGCTTACCGAGAGTTTCTCCAGGGGAGTGGATCTTTAATGATAAAATTTCACCATTGTGACAGGTAGCTGGAGAAACCTTCCAATCATAGCAGGTAGTAATTGGCTACTCAGGCACTGTTTAAATTTGGTCCTTTATCTTGCTAAAGGCAAAAACGGTCTACCCTTTTGTGTGTGTCTGTAGAATTTTAATTTAATTGAATGGGATATAATATAGCATAATGTTAAACCACATATCTAGCCTTAAAATTATTTTTAGAAATAGAACTTTTTCTATTCATAAGATACGAGTTGACAGGAATGAAACGGCCTAAGAGATGATGGCACAGTTGACCTCACGTTGGTTGGTTCCTTGCCCCTCCTGGCACTCAGTGAGAGAAACTGGTTTACACGGATTCTTTGATTATCTCAGGGAGTGCAAAGACCTGATATCAATCCATGCCTGCAGAATTCTTTGAATTAGTCATGGCATAAGCTGTCTTCCATTTCTAAACATCTTATTAGTCAGACCCTGATAGGATGCCAGGCCTGAGGATTTTCTAGCACTCTCTGCCCACTTGACCTGTGCTGTCTCACTGAATGGAGCTGGTAGGAAGTCCTGAACCGTAATTGAATTTTCGTAGTTGTTCCAGAGTATTGCTCAACTGTTACTTTAAAATATTATTTCATGCCTCTAGCTAATCTGCTCAGCAGTAAGAGGAATCATATAACTAGACAGAAACAGCAAATATGAGGAGAATTAGAAAGATATTAAAAAACTGGCAATCAGTAGCAAAATAAAAATGCAGAAAATTGAATCCTAGTAATGGTTACCAAGAAAAGACATAATGAAAAAAAACTTTTAATTTGGTTTTCAAAAAAAATTTCAAAGAAAACTAATTTAAAAAAATCAACGTACATGAAAATAAGTTATTAATCCCTTAAAGTGCTCTGCAATATAAAAGTTTAATGATTTTTTTGCAATAGAAAGTTGCCTTCACAGTGAATTGATTGTTGTTCACATTCTTATTTTTAAAATAATGTATTAACCCTTATGGTCCCATATTACAAACACTTAAATCAGAGTTCAGCATCCCTAAGAAACTGTAGAAGGATAATTATTTTTTTCATTTTGAAAGAATAAATTTTTCATATGAAATAAAAACTGAGAATTTGAACAAAAGTAAATGTGTTTAAAATATAAATGCAGTCTTAAAAATAGAGAAAAA